TAGAAAGCAAGAATCAATGTTGTGACAACGTTAATAATTAAGCCCACTATAGTGATTGCATTGGGAGCCCACCAAAGAGGTAACTGTTCTACTATCCACTTCCAAAATACTTGCATCGGTGGTTCTATTATTGATTGTCCCTCTGCGCTATACTTGTGCTCCATCAGTCGCTTTAGTTGTGCTTGTGAGAGAATCTGTTGGTTTCTAATATATTTATCATAAAATCCATCCTTTCGAGGAACAACAGACGGAAACGATGGAGCCGCCATTTCAATAGTATTTACTTTTAATTAATTATCAAAAGCCTGCTCGACGCAGAAAGGAAATCAGCTGATTTCTTTACGCCAGTGTCACCAATTTGTTTCTGTTTTCACTTTTCACGTCACCCACTCAATTAGCTGCCCTATCGGATGTGACCTTATAAACTGGCTATAATTACAGAGGCTTTTATCCCAATCGTTTTTTTTTTTCTACATGTCCGTTTTTTATGTATATAGCTCTGAATTAAGTAGATCTATGATTCTATATAGATCTAAATAGAACTAAGCATCGAGACATCTACATAAGAAAAAAAAACTATCAGTTCCTTGAAATCTGAGGAGAAAATTAAATGAAAAAAGAGAAGGCCAAGAAGAATACATCGTTCGCCGTGTGAGAATAGTCATGCCACCACGCTTACGTAAATACACGTAAATCTGATTCACAAGTCTTACTTATGAATAGTCAAGTGTAAGCAGAGAGCCAGAGAAGTCATGTTTTGGCCAGGCATGAATGCAGACATTGAAGTGACAGTTAGGGAATGTAGCAGGTGTGCTGAACATCAGAATCAAAATGTGTCAGAACCGCTAATGCCTACCAAGACACCAGACCTTTCATACAGCATGGTTGGGTGTGATCTGTTTAACTTTGAGGGGTAAAAGTATATGCTTCTAGTTGACTACTTCTCAAAGTTTATTAGTGTCAAAGTTCAAATGGCGAGGCTGAAAGAGCTATTCAGACAGTGAAGAAACTGTGGAAGAAAAGCGAAGACAAATTTCTGTCGCTATTAGACTACAGAACTATTCCACTGACTAATATTAATTAGTCGCCAGCTCAATTACTAATGGGACCCAGAAATTTGTTACTTTCGAGCGAGGAAATACTCACACCTAAGACACCAGATCTCAAGGTGGTGAAGAAACACTTTGACTCCGAGAAACAGTCTCAGAAACATTATTATGACAAGAGGGAAGGAGTTAGGAGTCACAATCCACTACAAGACGGAACGGCAGTCAGAATGCAACTTATTTCTAAGTGGAAACCAGGAACAGTAGTTTCGAAGCATTCTAAGCCTAGATCATATAATGTCAAAAGTGGAAATAAGGTCTACAGAAGAAACAGAAAACACATCAGAAAGTCTTCTGAGAAAGCAAACAGATTTGACAATAATTATGACTTTCCAGATGACAGAAAAATCAGAACCATTAGATCTAGTGAGTCTAAGATTACATTCTACACTAGATGTTGAGCCGCCACTACACACTGCTTCTTCTAACACCTCTAGACCACATGAACCTTACGTAACACGCTCAGGCAGAATAGTTAACAAACCCAAGAGACTTGATTTGGAATTAACTGAATTGGCTTTTTAGTTGACTAGTTTGTTATTCTGATAGATAGATTTTCTGAATTAAAGAAGAGAGATGTAACATATTGGTATTATATGTACATTTGCACACTATCGCGGCAGTGCAACACCGCTTGTGTTTACGTCCAAATGGAGTTCCTAATATGTCTTCCCTCTTAAACACTAGTTTGTTATTTGTGTAACACGAATATTCTACATACTGTTACCAAAATAGACTCATAGACGAATTGTTCAGTTTATTGTTTTGGTTGTTGCTTCAAATAGCCCAAACATTCCACAGTGCTGCCGAAGTGAGGGGGGGGGGGGGGGGGAGAGAATATAGGCGATTGCAATGTAGATGTTTTTGTTTTTTTCTTTTGCAAATTGAAATATGTAATCAAGTTGTGCGCCGATTCGTATGGTAATGCCCGGGCCGATTTCGACACCCAGTCCGGCCCTGGTCGGAGTCCATCCAGCAAATAAAAAAGTTTGAACTTTTTGAGGTTGGGTACTGATGGTTTGTTTAGTATGGCCAACTTATCATGTTTGATTGACTTAAATGATGTTGATATATATATATATGACATCCTTCAGTCGTGAAACAGAGGCTATACGCAGGTTCTTATAATGATTATCTAATTGTTTTGTAAAGGGTCAATCTCTTTTTTTTTTTTTGTTTTTTAAAGGAAACCTCAGAATTTTTTCTATTCAATTTTAGCTTTATCATCATAGGAATCCTTGGGCCTTAGGCCTCTTTTCTTTTCTTTGCCTCTTTTTGGGCTTAATGTGCCTCTTGTATGGGCCATCTTGCTTCTTTTGTGGGCTTTCTTTTTTTTTTTTTTCCCAATATTTTTTTTTATTTGTAAGTTTTCATAATTCACAAGTATTAAATCATAAACAATTGATTAACCTAAAAATACAACAATAGTAACAGAAACATTATTTAATATCAAAGACATACTACCTAACCATCCTAGCCATTGAATCCATAAAAGACCGAACAATGATACAAGTATCCTCTACCCCAGAACAATCAACACAATATCAAATATCCCTGACCCCCATCACCCCATTTCTGGAAAACTACCTGAGCATTGTACAAGTATATGAAAATCAATCTCTTATACAAGGTCTTTGGAGATTAATGAAACATTTCCGTAAAAAAAAAAAATATGAAAAACTACTTATTAATTGTTGTTTTAAATTATGTTCCACTTATATGCATACTATATAGATTTTTTTCTCTTTTAAAATGAAAGCAAAAAAAATGTGTTGTTTTTTTTTTGTAAATGTAGTAGCCTAGTTAGTATAACAGAACTTACTTTGTAAAATATGTAAAAAAAAATTTGACAAAAAAAATCTAAAACCGTTGGCATAAATTTGTTACAAATATGGTACATACTCCTCTCCTTTACGAAATATCTTTCAGTGTTTGTTACTATTAACAGTGAATAGTTGTAAAAATGGTGTATTTTTATGAAAAAGCTGCTTGCATACTTGATTTTAAAAATTAGATTTTTCGCTTTCAGAAAAGAAGAAAGTAGCCGTTGCATCAGAACTTTGAAGGTCTAAAATATTGTGATGTCGGGCCGGTAAAAATTTTAAAAAAATTAAAATTTAAAAAGAAAAATTATCGAAAGGGGAAGAACTCTGCCCTTAAAACAATATGTATCAATAATGTACACGTTATTTCCTTATTCGATATCAAACAAAATAATTATTTACCAATAATTAATTGACAAAAAAACATCCATGGTTTGTTAGGTACAATAAATAATTGTTTAAAGTTTCAACTTGATCGGAGAATGCGTGAGGGAGAAATAGCGTTAACAATTATTTTAGGGGACTAAAAGAAAGCAACAAATGTTTTCTAACACATGTAGTCTAACAAGTAGGCCTAGATCTCAACATTTATGTATAATCTTGAGTCACAAAAGAGAGAGCTTGACTGGTAGACATAGAGCTATAGAACTCAGCTATGTTGGAGATATAGCCTAATTCAATTTTCTCATTTTTTTCCCTCTAAAATGTTTGTTTTTTTAGTCCTAGTTGGTGGGTCCTAGGCGGCTGCCTAATTTGCCTATAAGGCCAGTCCTTGTCCGACAAAATTTCAGCAATTCAGGAAATTCACATCATTGCACGGGATAAATAAACATCAGCTGTCTGCACGATCGGAATTGTCAATCAGTTTCACATCTGTCGGGGCACTTGACACATAGATCTGGTCGATTTTACATAGGCGTATTTTTTTTTTTCATGTGTATCTCTCTTTTGTGAAATATCCTTTAATAGCCCTTGACCTGGCCTGTGGGAAGTCACACCGTTCTCGAGTTTGTGAAAGATTATTAGGTAACGCTTAACAGGTTGGAAGAGGTTAAGGTGCACCCTTTCCGCCTTCAAAAAGAAGAGTTGCAGTTTCGTTGGGAAAGTGCAAACACATTCGAAATCAGTTTTTGCTTTTCCCACAACCATGAGAAGTCATTCAGTTGAGGAACATGATTCAATTCTTTGTCATAGATATTTCCAAATTTGTCTTGAAAGAAAGATAGCACTTATCCTTGAATTCCCTGGTGCACTTCACAGTGAAAGTCTGATATTCGGATTCTAATTGTCATAAAATTCTTGAAATGTCTGAGGCTCAATGCATATTTTTTTATTAACTATTTTTTTTGTACATGTCGATTTGTGTACACTGTGCTCCGGGCCTGATTGCGCCGCGTTGCGGACCGTATTTTGGGCATCACTGATATACGCAATAGCCATAGCAGTAAGTGGCAGCAGAACCAAACACACTTAAGATCTGCCACACAGCCCCCCATTGCCAGACGTTTGGTAATTCTAGCCTGAACTAAATATTGTTCCACTAAATATTGTTCCACTTCCTTACGTTTTTTTTCCTTGTTTCCTTATGGAAGTATATAAGTGAAGCCTCAAAACCAATCTTCACTTATGGATCTTCTTCTGCTATAATAAAACATTATAGACGTTACTTCACAAAGGAAATTAACCTACACTTATGGATGCTAATAAGTGATGCTTCAAACCTAATCTAGATTTTATTTCATTCTTTTTTCTTTCTTTTGAAAAGCTTCAATAAACACAACACAAAAGTATTTCATTTTCATAGAAGAAAACTTGTTTTTTCCTCCTTTGTTCTTTGGGTTCCCCTAAAAGTCAACAGAGTGCTCCTGTGTTAGTTCTCTGCTCCTTGGCTAGTCTTTTAAATATTTCAACATGGATAAATGAAATTCTCCCTTATACACTTAAAAAGAAAATGATATTCTTTACGACTTGTATTATTAGAAATGTGTTTGAAAAGTAACAGTAGCACCAAAAACAGTTGTTTAAAAATTACAGCTTCTGTCAAAAACAAAGAAATAAACAAAAAAATTGCATCATGTTATTCAACAACTTAGTTTATTGATGAATTAGACAAAAACATTCAGACTATGTCAATATGTCTCTTGTTTTGAAATATTCAGTCATATATGTCTTGTTTTGAAATATTCAGTTATATATGTGTCTTGTTTTGAAACACTTGTCTCCTGCTTTGAAACATTCAGTCTATGTCAATGTCTTGTTTTGAAACATTCAGTCATATATGCGTCTTGTTTTGAAACATTGTCTATGTCAATGTCTCCTCCTTTGAAACATTCAGTCAATGTCTTGTTTTGAAACATTCAGTCATATATGCGTCTTGTTTTGAAACATTGTCTATGTCAATGTCTCCTGCTTTGAAACATTCAGTCATATATGCGTCTTGTTTTGAAACATTGTCTATGTCAATGTCTCCTGTTTTGAAACATTCAGTCAATATTCAATATTTCTCTTATTATGAACCTGTGAGCATGACATGGCCTAAATTGTGCTGATGTGCCAAATAGCCCCAAAATATTTTGTCATGAAACATTCAGTCTTTATCAATATTCTCTTGTTATGTAACATTTAAGTCCATGTCAACATGTTTCTTGTTTAAAACATTCAGTCTATGTGTCTTGTCTGACAATGAGGTTTTTTGTCTCATACAAATGAGTGGAGATTACTGCCCAACAGATCTTTTAGCTCACTAGTTGCCATTTCAACATTGAAACATGGCAGCTAATCAAAGAGTTGAACATTAAAGTAAATATATATGTCAGTATAGAAATACAACCATGGAGAATTCTAGCACAACACTTAAACATGATCAGAATATTTTGCTGTCAAAATGTTTTGCTATATACAGAATTAATTACTTTATAACACACAAAAATCCATAATTCTTTTTCAGTGTTTCACAGGAATTATGTATTTAAAAATATAACTTCATATATTGTACAGTACAGATTGTCTTGCTATGTCGTGTAGTACACAGCATATCTACAGGCTCACAGTTGTCCCAATTACAAAAAGTGTTGTTTTTTTTCAAAGTCATTTTGAAGTCTTCAAGAAATGTATTTATATTAAAAATATTAAATAAAAACTTTTCATTAGCTGGTAAAAAAAAAAAAAGACAAAAGAGAAGTCTGGGAAGCTTCTGTATAAATTCAACTAAGTAGGAACTCCTGTACGTGTGTGTCAACATGTGCCCAATCACAATCTACAACTGTAACACCAATCAAAAACTAAAAAGACACAACCACAACAATAGAAATATTTAAATAAAACTCTTGATATAAAATCTGAACATATAATCTTCATAAACATATTTCTACAAAAGCTAGATCTGCCAGGTCAGATGATAGTCCTCTGAGGCTTCATCACATGTCAGGTCAAATGTTAAATAAAAAAGGTCGATGAAGGAGTGAAAGCTTTATCTGGCAAGTCAAATCTTAAATAAACTGGTCCAGGAACAACTTGTCAGTCTGATGATTAATTAAAAAGTAAAGTAACCCTTTCAGACGGTCTATGAAAGTAACCCTTTTAGGCAGTCTATGAGGCAGATAGTATTTTAAAATAACAACTTTCCAAAGCTTCCTAGAGTTGCAAGTACCAATAAGGTTCAATGAAAACATGTAAATGTTTACTTTAACAGTGACATGCCAATTACGCATATACATCAGTGTCATGGGTAAATATTTCCAAGCACACATTAGAAAAGCTCAACACCCAGACAGCAAAGCTCAATAAGGGAACTAAGACCAAGATAGGGAAGACATGTCTTACAGTAAATTACAATCTAATTCAAAGATACATCTTTAAATAAAGTGATCATAGCTTCTAATAACCTCTATAGATACAGAAGAGATTAGCTGTATTCAACTGCACACAATAAAAACATCATAGTATCCATGTTAAATTCTGGTTCTCAAAACCCTAGAAAAATTAAAAAACTATTTGCTTTTCATTCGTCAATGTAACATATGGACACTTTTCAGTTCCAAGTAAAAACAATAAAAAAAATTAAACAACATGTGAGATTGCAAAAATGTCACAACATTCCTTAAACTCCAATCTTAGGAAAATATTTATTAAAGTCAATAAAAGTATTTGGACAACTATTCTTTTATAATCAAGCTTTAGGCACTAGAATTTTTTCTTTATTGCCATAGTTTGACCAATTGATTGGCAATGACAACCACTAATCCAGTGAACACAAAGATTTAAATTCCTCGTAAATACTTTATTAGCAACCACTAGCATCACACTCATGTTTGCTTGTCAGGTCTAACACACACACAAAAAATGAACTGAGCAATAACTCAAAGTTGCAGGTTCAAGATGTTAATAAAAAAAATAATAATACAAAAGTACAAAATTATTCCACTTACATTTGTTTCAAATAACGAACAATTAATAAAATGTACTGAGTTATACCAATGTGGGCTCAGTTCCTATGTTTTTTGAGCTGACTCTTTTCTCAAGATATGTCAGCATCAGTGTAAATATTCTGTCTGATGAGAATGCATACTATAACTAGCACAGTGTAGGAAATATATATATATATTAAAAAACTGGTTTCTAAATCAAACATGAGCCAAGATGATGATGAGATGATTGTTTCAAAATTCACATTTCAGATTCCCATTTTTAGCTCTAGATATCCAATACTGGTACCCGGGTAATGTAGAAAACAAAAAAAAGTTTTAAAATGTCTAATATTAAATTTTCAAAATTTAATAATAATCATAAGAAATTAAAAGAGGACTTCCTTGGCAAATACAAGTAGAGAGTTAATAAAATCCTCAACACCAAACTGTCTGGCAGTAATCTCATCACTGCAATAAACAGCTGGGCCACCCCAGTGCTCCTTTGCACGTTCTGTGTGATCAAATGGACTGACACCGACCTACATGACATTGACAGACTCACTAGAAAATTACTAACCAAGTTTCGATGCCTACACCCCAAGTCCTCCACCATAAGGTTATACCTGCCCAGGAAGGATGGGGGTCGTGGATTGCAGAACATCTTCAAATTGTGTAAGATGCAAGTTTTAAAAATACGATCAAAACTGCTCGCCTCCAGCAACAAAGTAGTTTCCTTTCTACGCAAATATGACTCCGAAGCAACCCATCTGAACCTACACAATGCTGATGTCAATGTCGGTTTGGACGACGTAGGGCATGAGATTCGCCAATGAGAAGAAAAAACACTCCACGGAAAATTTCCAGCCTGATTACATGGGGACAACATCCACAAGGCTGCTTCCTTAACATGGCTCAATGCAGGTCATCTTTACCCTGAAACAGGAGGCTTTGTTACAGCAATACAGGACAGAGTAATCAAGGACAAAAAATTACGAGAAGCATATCCTGAAACTCAATGTTGTCGACAAATGCAGGAAATGTGGGCGAGTCACATTATGGCAGAATGTCCAGCCCTATCAGAATCAGCCTACCTAGGTCGCCATAACCAAGTTGCAAAGTTAATACACCAACACCTGGCTTTGACGTACAAATTGATCGGTAAGGACACTCCCCCTTATTATAAATACTCTCCGCAAGAGGTTCTCGAGTCTACTGAACATCTGCTGTACTGGGATAGGCCTATTCTGACCAACAAAACGGTAGATTTCAATCGCCCGGATCTGCTGTTCATCAATAAAAAAGAAAAAACTGCTACCATTATCGATATCGCCGTACCACTGTCTCATAATTTAAGAAAAACTGAGATAGAAAAACAAAGAAAATATGGGAACCTAGGCTTGGAGATTAAGCATCTATGGAAATTGTCCAAAATAACAATATACCCCATTGTTATATCAACCGAGGGGATAATAACAACTGACCTCACAGACACCTTCAAGGCCCTTAACATTCCTAGGAACATCTTCGCTGCCTGTCAGAGGGCGGTACTGCTGCAGACCTGCCACATCAACAGAAACAGAAAATTCCTCAGTGGAAACTGTTAAAGGGACTACGATGAATCTTGTTTCTCTTTAGCGAAACTCGACCCTGGCAGCGCCAGAGAATGACTACTCGTTCATTTCTAACATAATAATAATCTTTATTGTCCGTATGGAAATTTGTCTTACAATGTCTTAACAATGTATTCCAAATGTGCACATTTTTTAAAATAAGGAACAATAATCAGATTGTTTTATTTTTCATTCCCAAAGTAAGTTAAGATTTGCTTTCGACGGGTATAAGTAAAGATAAGCGACACATCATGTACCAGTAAACATAAGATGTTTCCCCCAAAACTATTTTACCTAGTGATAACACATAAACGATAAAAGTCAACCTTTATTTTCACTAGAGAGATGTTCAGAAGTAAGTGATGAGATCCATTAACTCTTTCTCTCCTAACCGACGATACAAACGTTGATTCCATCAGAATGTGGTAAATAATTACGGAGAGAAAGAGTTAACACTATGTACAATATCCCTTTTGCAAGAAGTCAACTAGTCAAAGATTGTAATGTTTAAGTACTAAAGCTATATATATATATATATATATATAACAAATATATATTGTAATGAATCATAAGTAAGACGTGTAGAAGTTGAGTTTAACTGGGTATTTCCTTAGTACATTTAAAAGTTATAATGGACATAGGTTAGAGAGGAATAACTAGTGAATCTTGATGACATGGATTGTGCCCTTCTTTCTGTGATAAAGTTTTTTTTGTTGAAAAGACCGGGATATCCACTTTATTTTGTAATATTTGTTCTGTGGTGAGTTGTATTTAAAAACTCGCAGCTGTAATTAATAACATTTCAAGCAAATAGATTACTCTACATCATCTACACTACACTCAACTATCAACAATATATATATATATATATATATATATACAGACACCAAGATAAACTAAAATGAGATTAAAAAATATTTTTTACAAAATTGTTTGGTATAAACAAAAGTGTAGGCTAATTTTGACTCTCCTCAAGATCTAAAATCACTCGTGCTGAAAACAATTAAGGTGTTCACAAAATTGATGACAGGCTAATTAAAAGTGAAACACTGGCATTCACAGAGAATATATTATTTCTAAATTATAGTCTAAATACACATTCAGCAAAGAGAAAGGCTCAAAGCCAATAAATTAGTGATGTAGGTCTAAAAGCATCCAAAATATATGTAGATTAGTATATATTGTTCGGTCTCAGCAGGGCTGCTCAACAAAAACAATTTTGTAAGAAGCAAATCAAACTTACGACTATGTCTATATATATAACATAAACAGTACAGTCTACATATCAAATGACTGTGCATCCTTTAGTAGCATGAGGTAAATGAAG